TGTTACTGTGATGTTGTCAGCTAATGTTGTTAATAAGTTGGCCTCAGAAGTTGTCACAGTTTCTTCTGTTGTAGTTTCAGTATCAATATTTGCTGTTGCTGTTACTGTGATGTTGTCAGCTAATGTTGTTAATAAGTTGGCCTCAGAAGTTGTCACAGTTTCTTCTGTTGTAGTTTCAGTATCAATATTTGCTGTTGTTGTTACTGTGATGTTGTCAGCTAATGTTGTTAATAAGTTGGCCTCAGAAGTTGTCACAGTTTCTTCTGTTGTAGTTTCAGTATCAATATTTGCTGTTGTTGTTACTGTGATGTTGTCAGCTAATGTTGTTAATAAGTTGGCCTCAGAAGTTGTCACAGTTTCTTCTGTTGTAGTTTCAGTATCAATATTTGCTGTTGTTGTTACTGTGATGTTGTCAGCTAATGTTGTTAATAAGTTGGCCTCAGAAGTTGTCACAGTTTCTTCTGTTGTAGTTTCAGTATCAATATTTGCTGTTGTTGTTACTGTGATGTTGTCAGCTAATGTTGTTAATAAGTTGGCCTCAGAAGTTGTCACAGTTTCTTCTGTTGTAGTTTCAGTATCAATATTTGCTGTTGTTGTTACTGTGATGTTGTCAGCTAATGTTGTTAATAAGTTGGCCTCAGAAGTTGTCACAGTTTCTTCTGTTGTAGTTTCAGTATCAATATTTGCTGTTGTTGTTACTGTGATGTTGTCAGCTAATGTTGTTAATAAGTTGGCCTCAGAAGTTGTCACAGTTTCTTCTGTTGTAGTTTCAGTATCAATATTTGCTGTTGTTGTTACTGTGATGTTGTCAGCTAATGTTGTTAATAAGTTGGCCTCAGAAGTTGTCACAGTTTCTTCTGTTGTAGTTTCAGTAACAATATTTGCTGTTGTTGTTACTGTGTAGTTGTCAGCTGATGTTGTTAATAAGTCCGCCTCAGAAGTTGTTGCTGTAAATGGAGCTGCAGTTGTAGCTATGGTGATATTACAGAAGTCACCCTGTAACCCCGGGAAGCAGGTGCAGTAGTAGCCCCCTGGGATGTTGGTACAGTAGGAGCTGATAGGACACAGATTGAGGTCACACTCGTTGATGTCTTCACATACTGTGTTGTTCTGTACATAGCCAGAGTCACACTGACACTGGAACCCTCCCTCTGTATTATTACACACTTGACCCTGACCACTACAAGCAGAGATATTCTTACACTCATCTATATCATTACAAACCAGACCAGTCCCAGTGTACCCTGCATTACAGGTGCAGGTGAATGAACCAACTGTGTTAAGACATGTTGCCATGGTATCACAGGAACTACTGTGGAGACACTCATCATCATCAGCACAAACTCCGTCCACGTCACGCTGAAAGCCACTCTGGCATTTGCAGAGATACGAGCCCACTGTGTTCATACATTCCTCATATGGTCCAGTGCAAGGGTTGGTGCTATTGCATTCATCCACATCAGCACAGAAGGTTCCATTGCCTGTGTAGCCATCATTACATGTGCAGACATAACTGCCTATGGTGTCATTGCATGTTGCCTGTAAACTACAAGGTGTCTGCAACACACACTCATCTATATCTGAAAGGAAAACAGACATGTAAGGCTAAGTTTATGTTCAGGAGTGACTAATCATGTTGTCAACACATGTTCCTCTGTTGTTTAGTTGCTATCAGTTTATTTCAGAATTGCGAGGAACTGAATAAAATATGGTTTTCCAGCTATAAACACAACTAAATAAATCAAGAAATAAACTGTCCTTCTAGTGGAAAATTATGACTTTGATATACTAAAATTTTATTTGCAGTTTATATGAACAGTTTTCAGACTGTGGAAACACAGTAAAAACAACTTACTTTCACATGTGCCTAAAGCATTCAGCACATAGCCTTGAGGGCATACACAGTAGAATGAGCCATTGGTATTGACACACTGGCCGGTGTTGCCACATATAGTGTTGTTAAGACACTCATTGATGTCAGCGGCACATTGGGAGCCGTTCCAGCCAGGTTGACAGTCTACACAGCCTAGGATGTAGTCACAGGTGGCAGCTCTGCCCTGACAGTCACATATCTCCACACAACCCAGGCCATACTGTGGGGCCACACACTCTGAACACAGAACAAACAAGACACATGATAGGTCATGGTGCTTAGTGGGGGTTAGCATCATCATTGCTGACAGTGGTGGTACATGTAACTTGTCATTATCATTTTTGGTTCTTCCAAGAAATGGTCAATTATTTCGTAGCTTATTCTTTTTTGGGCCACATTCTACTGAAAATTCTACATGAAAAGTCTGTATTTTTAAGCACAGATTCCTTTCTGCAGATTTTATCATAGAGTGAAAATGAAATACTTTTGAAATATATGATGAGAGGTAAAAACTTGGGCCCACAAATAAATGCTCGATCTTTATAAAAGACTGTCACCTTCCCATAATTCCTTTACACATTTACACCTCAAGTAAAAGACATCTACCAGACAAGAGGAACATTCTGAGGAAAAGCACCCTCTTACTTTCACAACTTCTTTTGTCACTGGCAAGCCCGTAGCCTATCTGACAGGAGCAGGTGTAGCCTCCAGCTGTGTTACTACAGTTGCCTAGCAACTGGTCACAGCCATTTAACACTGGGTCTGAACACTCGTTAATGTCTTGGAGTAAAATATAAATAATAATGGTAAAAATTATGAAAAATATTATTTATTATTTAGAAAAAACTGACATGAAAAAACTGACATGATTAAATAAGCATACAGGTATTATACAAAATAACTGATGGTTAACTCTATAATTTAAGTCAAACTTGGGTTCTTGAAAGTTTTTAAGACAATGTGAATATTTTAATGTCTGTATTTTAACCAGAATCGTACAGGGTGATGGCTAGTGGTATGTTCATTATAATCACAATAAATTCAAATATGTTCTGGCAGAATAAAGAAGAATAAGAAAACTTATTTCCTCAGTGTTGCGTACCTAGACAGGTGCGGTTGTTGGTGTCCAGATTGAAGCCGTCAGGACACTGACACAAGACTGACCCCGTGGAGTTGGTGCAGTAGTGGCTACAGTTCAACAGCTGGCAGATATCAGAGTCTGGAAATAGTGGACAAAATATAGGATAATACAGTAGTGGCTACAGTTCAACAGCTGGCAGATATCAGAGTCTGGAAATAGTGGACAAAATATAGGATAATACAGTAGTGGCTACAGTTCAACAGCTGGCAGATATCAGAGTCTGGAAATAGTGGACAAAATATAGGATAATACAGTAGTGGCTACAGTTCAACAGCTGGCAGATATCAGAGTCTGGAAATAGTGGACAAAATATAGGATAATACAGTAGTGGCTACAGTTCAACAGCTGGCAGATATCAGAGTCTGGAAATAGTGGACAAAATATAGGATAATACAGTAGTGGCTACAGTTCAACAGCTGGCAGATATCAGAGTCTGGAAATAGTGGACAAAATATAGGATAATACAGTAGTGGCTACAGTTCAACAGCTGGCAGATATCAGAGTCTGGAAATAGTGGACAAAATATAGGATAATACAGTAGTGGCTACAGTTCAACAGCTGGCAGATATCAGAGTCTGGAAATCGTGGAGAAAGTATAGGAAACTATTATAAAGCCAAAAAAAAAAAGGGCATGTATACGTGATTATATTAGGAGATGCTCTACAATGGCATATTTACAGTGTGGATATGTCTAAAAATCTTTCCTAGTCTTGTAAGTTGAATTTGACTGACTGCAACTGCTGGATACATGTTTTGATATAGATATACTTAACTCAAATGGCGTTATCACCTTTGTTATATTTCAAGTCACATACCATCATTCTCTGATATAACTGAAGAATCATCAACACATGCTATTGTGGTTTAATGGTCATGCATACACTTCCTGTGACAGCACTTATAATTGATCTTTTATGAATAATTATAACAACAGGTTTGTGGTGGAGCTCACTAATCTGACCTGTGACTCTGTGATTTGAGATATAAGAGAGATTTGAGGCAGCTTTTGAGGAAAATGTTCATTGTCTAGAATTTGGTGATGCACTTACCAGATATACACAGGTTAGAGGTGACATTCAAGGTGTATCCTGCAGCACACTCACAGTAGAAACTTCCATTTGTGTTGACACAAATCTGGTCACAGTTGTCTGACCTCTCAGTACATTCATCAACATCTGAAGTGAAGTAAAAAAAAAAAACCATTACATATATTAGACCCTCACTCTGTAGTAGTCATATTGAGGGACTGTTAGCCTTCACCCATTACATATATTACACGTGTCACACTGTAGTAGTCATCTTGAAGGACTGTTAGCCTTCACCCATTACATATATAAGACATGTGTCACACTGTAGTAGTCAGCTTGAAGGACTGTTAGCCTTCACTCATTACATATATTACACATGTGTCACACTGTAGTAGTCAGCTTGAAGGACTAGTTGTTAGCCTTCACTCATAACATATATTAGACACGTGTCTCACTGTAGTAGTCATCTTGAAGGACTGTTAGCCTTCACCCATTACATATATTACACATGTGTCACACTGTAGTAGTCAGCTTGAAGGACTGTTAGCCTTCACCACTATGGTTCAGGCATGATAAGGAGCTAGGTGATCTCCATCTCTCTATCTCACAACTTTGATAAGTTTGTAGATGGATTCAGGTTGAGATAAGAACTTGAGACTTCTAACATCTCCTCATAGCTCAGAGTTCACAGATGGTTCTCCTTTGACATGTCTGATAGACTGTCCTATAAATCCTGCAGAATCTTTAGTAGAATTCATTTGCAGTCAAATAGAATGTTATACAGAGTCCTACTGAAGTCCAATTGGACTCCTACAGGAAATTTTTCTATGTGATCTTTTCAGTCACTGCTAGATTTCATGGATGTCCACAGTCACAGTATATTGAGGGTAGGAATACTCCCCCCCCCCCTCCCACCAACCACCAAGATGAAAATGGCTCAATCACCCAGAATTCCTAAATCACATTTCATGCAGAATATAGGGCTTAAATAATGCATCATGCTTGAAAAAAAAGGCCAATCACGCAAAATGCAAAAGGTATTCCCTACCCTCTATATTGAAGGTCTTGGAAACTTCATCACTAATTAAATTCACAACTGAAGAGACAGCAAAAAAAAGATATATACATGTCAACTTACCATAACAGCGTGATCCATTGCTTCTATATCCATCATAGCAGGTGCATGTGTAGCTGCCCTCTGTGTTTTCACACAACTGTTCACAGTTATTGGTCACATTGGAGCCCATAGCACACTCATCAATATCTGGAAATAGTCAGTCATAGAGCATCTTTAACTGTGCAGGTTTAGCTGATCATGAGCCCTTCATGTAGATAATTACTTGAACTCTTAGAGAAAAAAGGTTCTGTTTTTGAGCATGCACAGCCATGTTTGATTTTTGAACCCAGTTTGTTGTGGATATTTGAGCTCACCAGCATGGATAATTTAATAACAAGTTTGGTTTAAATAGTCATATATCTCAGTACGTTTTAATTGCTGTACCGTGTGCATAATTAAACCGCTGTGATACAAAAATTTTTTTCTCAAGGGACTTTATGTAAAGCAGTACTACAAAGTATTTAACATTAAGCATTTCAAATAATTTACAATTGGTGCCACATGTAATTGTCATACCCCCCTTATAAACAGAAAAAAGCTGGTTAGGCACACCTCTTGTACTGCCACTAGTATGTCCACTTCATTTCCTGGTGCTATGTCCACTTACAAACACACTTCCTGGTGTCATGTCCACTTACCCACACACTTCCTGGTGTCATGTCCACACACCCACACACTTCCTGGTGTCATGTCCACTTACCCACACACTTCCTGGTGTCATGTCCACTTACCCACACACTTCCTGGTGTCATGTCCACTTACCCAAACACTTCCTGGTGTAATTTCCACACACCCATACACTTTTTGGTGTCATGTCCACATATCCACATACTTCCTGGTGTAATTTCCACACACCCATACACTTTTTGGTGTCATGTTTACACATCCACACACTTCCTGGTGTAATTTCCACACACCCATACACTTTTTGGTGTCATGTCCACACATCCACACACTTCCTGGTGTCATGTCCACTTACCCACACACTTTCTGGTGTTGTTGTCCAGTGTGAACCCTGATGGGCAGTCAGAGCAGGTGAAGGCTACTCCAGAACTGCTGTGGAGAGGGGCTGGAACATCAGTGCAGTTCACATCCTGTGGACATGGGTTAGCTAGACAGCCATCCAGATCTATACTGCAGTCATCACCTACAGGGACACAGATCAACACTTCATACCTTTTTAGTACTTATGAAAAAATAGTTTCAGAGATTAACACTGAATGTTTTTTCAATTAATCTAATATTAGTTTTATATAAACTTTATTTAGTTGTATTAATTAACCAATAGAAAATCCTCTTACATTTCAGTTACCTGTATATCCTAGAGTAACTACATGTACCAACTCAACACTATCCTACGTGTATATCCTACCGTATACATGTAGTAACTACATATGTTCCTACTCAACACCTACCTGTATATCCTAGAGTAACTACCTGTACCAACTCAACACTATCCTACGTGTATATCCTAGAGTAACTACCTGTACCAACTCAACACTATCCTATGTGTATATCCTAGAGTAACTACCTGTACCAACTCAACACTATCTTACGTGTATATCCTAGAGTAACTACCTGTACCAACTCAACATTATCCTACATGTATATCCTACCGTATATATATGTAGTAACTACATATGTTCCTACTCAACACCTACCTGTATATCCTAGAGTAACTACCTGTACCAACTCAACACTATCCTACGTGTATATCCTATACATGTAGTAACTACAAATGTTCCTACTCAACACCTACCTGTATATCCTAGTGTAACTACCTGTACCTATTGAACACCTACCTGTATATCCTAGAGTAACAACCTGTACCTATTGAACACCTACCTGTATATCCTAGAGTAACTACCTGTACCTATTGAACACCTACCTGTATATCCTAGAGCACATTCACAAGTTGCCACGGCAAAGTTGGGGAAGTTCACATCTGGCAGGGTCTGCCTGTCAAAGTTACATGTGCCACTTGAAGAGCATCCACTGCAGTAACTTATCCGGACTGATGCCTCTGACACCCCACCATTGCCATCGTCAGCTATGAACCTACACATGACCAAAGTAAACAGTTACTCAGTGAATTATTATACTGTATAAATACATTAGGATCTGTCTACCATGATAATACATAGAATAAGGCCACTTTGGGCCATATCCAAAGTTAATAGTGTAATGAAAGTAGTCCTGTTGAAACATGTTTTAATAATTAAATAGTCGGATGAAACAGCTGAGACCAACCAAGATTTTCTTTGGTTTAAAAAATATTTATTCAGGTGATATATATATATATATATATATATAAGTATGAGATATATCTGAAATTTGAACTTGACAGACATCTTAAAAGTGATATGTGTGTATAGGTGTGCTGTGCCTGCTATATAGTATAGTTGTGTATAGGTGTGCTGTGACTGCTATGTAGTAAAGTTGGATATCTATCTCACCTGATCATGAACACCTGTGCTGTGACTGCTATATAGTATTGTTGGATATCTATCTCACCTGATCATAAACACCTGTGCTGTGAGAGCTGGGGTCCAGGTAAAGAGTCCAGTGCTGTTGTTAAAACTAGTTCCCGTGGTATTTCCAGTGTATGACAAGCTGACCACGTCTGTGACATCATCATCAATGACAGATACACTAACAGTGACCAGGTCACCTCCTGTGACATTGACTGTGGCTGGAATCAGCCTGATTCTGGGGACAGCATTCTCTGGACACAAGAAACAGTCAGATTAACAAAGGACAAACTCAGTGATCAATGTTTACATATGCCACTATAGACACTACATCACTGGGTAATCTACAGTACTCATACCATGCATACAGTATGTTTACAGAGGTAAATTGTCAATAATATTTCCTGTCTTCTTATAATACAATGTTTCAAACATTATCAGAGATAAATGGCTTTTTGTTCTTTCTGTCTGTATTAAAGATAGGGTACTACTCGTAGGTAACTGATCTTTTTAACAGTAAAAGGAAATGTTTTAGGTGATAAAACATTAATGGCACTCACTTGCTTCCCCAGCCTTAACAGCATTTTCTGCCTGCTTCGTAGCTGTGGCTTCTGCCAGCTTCTTGTCCAGAGTAAGCCAGTAGTCATAAACACACTGTGTAACATTATTACAGATGGTGTAATACTCGGCTTTGATGGTTTCATTTGGCCAGCTGATTTCGTCAAAGAAAACTGGCTGGAAAGAGGGTTCCTGGAAACTGGAGGTTGTCAGTTCACCCTTGTAATGGAAGAGGGAAGCCCCTTCTTGGACCATCCCTGTGATGGAAAGATGATAATTAGTTTTAAATATTTGTAAGTCAACATACAGATTTAAAAGACAGAGTTTTTGAAGGAAATGGCTGTTTACCACCAAGTTGTGAACTTCTGATATATACTTCACAACAGGTCCAAGGATATATACATGTAGCTCTCAGTCAAATGAGGTAGAGTGGAGAATTGAATTTCTGTATGTTGTTGGAACATTTGTTCTACATTGATGCCATAATATAATATAATACCTCATGAATGGGTTATAAATTTCTAGTATAAGATTCCAAATGTTTGCATTGTACATCACTGAGATGAATTGCATCACTTACACAGCTGTCCAAAGTTGTAATGGATCTGTCTTTCTGTTGAATTGATAGGCAGAATAGTGCCGTCAGGTGTGGTGAAGTCATCTGTGATGTCATTATTGAACACCCCCAGTAGACCTCGTGTCCTGTTGATGGCAGTCCCAGGTGCTCCAGCCAAGAAACTGAGCACACCTTCACTGAGGGAAATGGTGATAGACCAGCCTGGATTGAAATGTGTTATGTTGTTAAAATATGCTTTATGTTCAATATAGGTAGCCTCCAGAAATTGCCTTAAAAGCATGTTTTTGTGTCCTCTGAAAAGTAGGTAATTATACCTGGTGGCAAATTGAAATATCAGTGGACATTATTTTGGCATTGGATTAATTAACCTAGTTGTGAATTATAATCTTGGTTTCACAATTATCCAAGATTAAACCCAGCTTGCTTTACAACAGTTTCAGCCACAGCACCTCAATGCAAAACATAACTTAGATTGAGGGTCGGTATATACCAATATGTACATAACAGTCAGAGAGAAAAGTCTTACCTGAAGAAAACACCCCAGTTACACTGCTGCCTGTAGCATTATAGATCACTTCCATATTGTCGAAAGTTGGAATTGCAGAAGTCAGATTTACCAGCTCCCATTGGCCAGTGCTTTCACGGTATGCCCAGACTTCTAAGGCTGAGGAAGAAATCATTGCACAATATAACTGGATCTTAATATTAGGATTTTAACAGGGGTACCTGTGCTGGTCTGGTACCATCTATCACTGATATTGCACCTCTGTCTCACTTCTTTTAGATTTCTATAATAATAGCTTCAGAGGGGGACCATATCCCTTAGAAACACCACTGACTACTGCTGTGATTGGCAAAATTCACATGGAGTTCACACTACTACTGACTCAAAATGAAATATAACCATATATTTGTCCTATCTTAGCTATATATATAATAGCAGACTTTGCTTTCTACCATGTTTGCTTTTAGTACCCTAAGCAGTAAGGTTTGTTTGTGAAATTAGCTCTTCAACTTTGGGCCAGGGTTTGATGAGATGGCCATGGGTACAAAAGGTTCTTACTGGCACCAGTGTTATTTGACTGACCATGGTTTGATGCCACTGGGTTAGATACAACCAAGAATTATCCTAGAGACAATACATAGACTTACCAGTGTTATTGGTCACCATTTCTACATGCAATGTGTTTTATTCTAGAGACAATACATAGACTTACCAGTGTTATTGGTCACCATTTCTACATGCAGTGTGTCAGAGTTGTTAGATTTAGCAGCGAAGGCACTGAACACGGTGGCATTGGTTGCCTGACCATCACGTAACGCAGGCTGTGTACGTCCTTGGAAGGAGAAAGGGATGTAGCCATCAGATGAGGCTCCCTCCACAGTCTCCACCATGACGTATTCTCCGTGGCCATTGAAGGTGTAGTCCTTGCCATCTATGGTGGCCAAATGTGGATCACCATCAGCAAAAGCTGGAAAGATACACAGTATATTGGTTCATACAATACAGACTACCACTTAATGAGTTCTGAATGCACCATAATAAGCACTATTCTTTTTTATTTGTCTGTTTAACAATTATCTCAGCTGATACATTGGTTTTATATGCAAAAGGCTTCTCTTTATAAATCAATCTGATACTTTCTATAGATAACCATTTCCATCCATATATATACTAATGCAATTAGTTACAGCATATTACTTACCATCTACATGTATGTATCAGAGAAGTTCATCAGCTGTTATATGTTATAAGAATAAAGTATTTTTTTAACTTATAAGTAACTATTGGCAGCTAATATTATCTTCAATATTTAGTTGTCCCTCAAAGCATCTTCATATATTTGTATTAGTATGCAAACAATGATGAAATATATATTGTAGATATTATTCACCCACAAGCATATAATGGTATCACTTACGGAAGCGTATCCCATAGCCAAGGCAGGTGTCCACAGGTCGGTATCCCTGGTACACCAGGCAGTAAACATCGGGGTTATTGGATTTCTGACAGCACCACTCTTTAGGGAGGGTGTCCTCCCTCTCTCGAAGACTTCCAGGGTACAAGCTCTTAATCATGGTGCCAGCTGTGGGGCCACTGGTGATCAGCCATAACTGGGAGTTGTAACAGCATTGCTGAAAAACCAACCAACAGACTACATATTGAATACAGAGGGTACAGGATAGGAGGATAGAGGAAAAGATATTGTGCGAAGTTTGGCCTTGATATTTCTAGCAATTGTTAATGTAATGAAAATGTCCAAATTCTCTCCTACCCTTCCTCCCCCTAGCTCTGCAGGAAACCTGCTGATGGCACAGAAAGTGCTGGTGTCAAATCTGTAGCTGAAGTCTTGTAGTGCTTGCAATGCAGTGCAGGGACAGGGGCCGTTGGACTGGTCAAGCAAACGCAAGAGTCCCGTGTTCTGGGCCAGGGCCCAATCCAGACACAGCTGGTCATAGTTGATCTGGTTGTCACTGTTGTCAAGTCTGTACATCTCTTTTCCTGTTGAACCTGTAAATAAGTCGAGGTGTTTTTAATCTTGAAAATATCTTCAAAACGTTACTACATGAAATACCAAAATGGTGTTCCTTCACCTGGAAGTTTCCTGAATATAACTGAATGTTCCACTGTGTCCAACTGATGCCAAACCTCTGTTCATCCAAGCACAAACTTTAGATGATTTCTGTCCTTCTTACAAGTAGCCATTGCTGCATCAGTGATATATCCAATCTTATTTCTTATAAAAATAGGCGAGGGGCATATTGAAAAGAAATGAGAGAAAACATATTCACATACCAGTGTTCCCTTTCAATGAGTTGATGTTGTAGACAGCAGGAAGATTAGACAGGTAATTCTGTCCATAACATTGGGCGTGGTTGAATGACGGACAGGACAAATCCCCTGTAGCATAACCAACATAAACAGGGCGGGACCTACTTCCTGACCTCGTAAACATATCGCCATAGTTCAGAATGGCAAAGGTATACTTTTCATCGGTAGCAATGACTGCTTGGTAGGTGAAGTTCTGAAAGCATTCAGATATCAAATGCACACTTTTTAAAATTGACAGGTCTTAATTCAAAAAAGTAATTTCAACCTTTTATTAATACTTATCAATGTAACATTTTCCTCATTTTTCTGTTGATTCAAACTGTTTTTTCTTTCCACTGAAACTGCTCACTTATTATACTAAGTCTTGCTATATTTTAACTGGATGACTATTTTACAAAACACATTTTTCTAATTGCCTGGTTTTTCTTACCTCACGTCCATAGTATAATACAGAGGGATAGGGGACAGCCTTCTCCCAAGTGACCACAAAGATAAAACTGGCTTTAAACTTGAAGCTGAGCTGCATATTTGGGTTATTATTCACTTCATATTCAGCAACATCTTTGACATAGTTTCCTGTGTCACTGAGTCCCTTGATGACATCATAGGCCTGGTAACAGAGTCTGGACTCAGCATTAGTGAGTCCAGGGTTGGTGAAATCCTGGTCTAACCAGAACACACCAAGCAAAGGCACCCTTAGCTGGCTGAAGGGATATGGCCGAAACAAGAATGGCAGTCGAGTGTTGAAGGTCAGGTAGCCATTGTCACTGATCTGTGAAAGAAAGGCACAGTATAATTGAGCTTATTTATGCTTAGTCTAAGGAACAGTCTATTCTGTGTTCTAGACAAATAAACTTACATAACTCCTTTCACATCAAGTGTATCATTTATAAGTATTTTATAGGATGATAATGATTTCTATGATTTATCCCTTCCAGCCTCAGTGGATTTTTACTTACAAACACAGAGGAAACCTTGTGCTGGAAGTATGGGAAGGTGACATCCATGTTGACAGTGATTCCTTTGTCATCTCCAGGCTTGAAACAGGAGTCCTCGAAGGAGTATGACACCAGTCTGGTCTCCACCACTACCAGGAGAGAGAGAAAACATTGAGTTAGCTGGCTCTTGGATATATTATCACTGATAGGGCTTTAGTTTGTGGAATTATTACTACCAGGAGAGAGAGAAAACATTGGGTTAGCTGGCTCTTGGATATATTATCACTGATAGGGCATTAGTTTGTGGAATTATTACCATTAATATGCATTCATTTGGGTCTTGGATGGACAATGTTGTGTAATGACAATCATGTCTGAAGTTGTTATAGAAATACAAAATGGAATCATGACTAATGTGTTCTTATAACTGTTCCTGAATATTTCCACTCAGTTAAGTAATTAATAGCAGGTAGTTCTCACATCTGTTGCAGGTGGCGCCAGTGTACCCAGTTGCACAGTTACAAGTGAAGGAGTTCACACCGTCCACACATGTCCCACGCTGGTTGCAGGATGTGGACTGGCAGTCATTGATGTTCACTTGGCAGGTGGTTCCAGTAAAGCCTATCAACAGTGGATATGTTATTAAAAAACAACCCGATGAATTATAATTAATATAGGGAACATTTTCTGAATTCAATAACAATTTTTTATATGTATAATAGCGAAAAAACGATTTGCTTGAAACAAAACTTCAACATTTTAAGCATTGTCATTGTTTCTTCATCTATGACTCATTAATAATATATACTTATTGTGATTATGTTTGTTGTCACAGAAGCACACCTGTTTTTTAGCATGTTGTTTTCAATGGGGCTTCATTAGCTATGTTCAGGACAGAGGAGCAATCTTGAAGGTCATGAACATGTCAGAATGTTGGCATGATATAGCTGATAATGATCATGTTTTATAAAATAAATAATACCATAGACTCATTACTGTGGTTTGACTGCCCTGTGCACCTACCTGATGGACAGGAACAAATGTAACCATTCACCTGATCAATGCATGTAGCACCATTCTGGCAGGGGGAGGATGCACATTCATCTATGTTTATTTCACAATTTATACCAGTGAAACCTGAAAGTTTGGACATACCGGTATATATTAAAGCATCTGTTATCACTTAATGTCAAAATAAACATGCATATGCTGGAGCAAAAATAGTCACTGCACTGACATTGACACTCAACTGGCCACTCTGACATTGACAGGGGCGTCTTGATACTCCAAAGGTTCATTGGTCCGAAAAATGGTAACATTTTCATCGGTTTTCTAATCAAGAGTTCATTGGTCCGAAGTTTATATAGTGAACATTCGGACCAATGAACCTACAGACTGTTGAACCTTTGGAGTATTGCTACAGCCCCACATTGACACTCAGCTCACACCTCTGTAAGTGACACTCAACTCACTACTCTGATACTGAAAATACTCACTACTCTGACATTGACACTGAATTCACTACTTTGACATTGACACTGAACTCACTACTTTGACATTGACATCCAATTCACTACATGCTGACACTAAACTCACCACTTTGACATTGACACTCATATGTAGCATTACAGAAAGTTCCTGAGTTGTCAGTGCATGGAACGCTGATGTCCACACACTGGCCATTGTTCTGACATGGCGAGATGATGTTACAGTAGTCATTGATGTTGCAGGTCGATCCTATTGTACCTGGAATGTGATCACAAAATAACAAGAATAAGCATGCCCCATTTCAATTAAAGAATAGATTGTCAATCGAAAAGACATTGTGTAAGAGAGCATTCACAACAGATGACCCTCAGATCTACTGATCCACAGGTCATATATGATGGTCCATACATGAAAACAGAGCTGACTAATCTGCTGATGGTCTCCCTGCCACCACATGAGCCATTAAACAGATTTAACCATTGCTCTGAGGTTCAATTACTTGACCTCTGCAGGGACGGTACGTGTTTAGTATATCTGATAAGTACAATAGGTAGACAGGTAGACAATTATCTGAGAAAAATTAATCCCTGCGTAGTATGTTTAGATTATAATATTGTGTTGGAAGGCTTGAAGTGATTAAAATCTTACCATTAGGACAGAGACATGAGAAGCCAGCAATCTGATCAACACAGGTGCCTCCATGATTGCATTTTCTGGATCCCGAGCACTCATTGATCTCTACATCACAGTTGGTACCCACA